TGTTTGGCGGGCCCGGGCTGGGGATTCGAACCCGCCACCTTAGGTGTATGTGGCTGGCGCCTTAGCCGATTGAGCCACAGGCGCCGAGCCCATAATTTTTAAAGAAGACGAATTTTTGAGATTTCCTTATAGTCTAGAAATATAGAGCCACAGGTTTTAATGGCTCCTGTGGCATGCAGTGACACATCTGTTGTCTATGCATTGTGCTCTGAACTGTTTAGTTTATAAAACATTTGCATTTTAATAAGACTTAGTTAATGTTCTGCAAGCTGGTGCTGCTGAGGCTTCTTTCTTTGTTTTTACCTTCTGTGCCATAAAATCAACACTATTTTAGCTATTGTCCTGGATGGACAATAATATTTGTGGTTATTAAAGACAATTAAATGCGAATGAGCAGTTTACTCCGCTGGAACCTTGCTTCTTTATATAAATGTCAGTGTTCTTATCAGAGATAATTATGTAGTTAGCATCTCCTTCATTTTAACTTTAGGTGCTTTAAAATAAGATTTTTTTTTATTAAAATTAGGACTTCTTGTTTCTTATTTTGTAAGCCAGGAATACTGTGTCTTCACAGTTTCTCTTAACTGGAGTAAGGAAAGTAGAAGAGAAAAGGGAGTGAACAATTATCAGCAACAAATATATTTTAGACCATGATATGTTCAGATTGACAATGAAGGCTTTATGAACTTGGCATATGAAAAAACATGTTTACAATACATACATGTATTGTTCACCTGCACAGAAATTAAAGAGCAACTACGGAACAGCATATTAAAGCAAACAAATCACATAATTTGACAGAGGGGAAAAGTTAACTATTTCTATTATATTGGACAAGTACAGAGTCAAGTTGCGGAAAACAGACTTTGGTGATTTTTTCATTTGTTAATCCTCACGTCTTTTCTATATTTGTTAGAGCCATTGTTATCTTTCCCTTTCTCCTTCTGGCTTGACCCTCACTTCTGAATTGCTCTGAGTGTCTTTGAAAAAGGCGACCTGAATCTTGTCCTTGGCAGTCATTGGTCTGCTCATGAGAAGCCAAAAGTAGAGTGAGGAAGGAAAGCATTCTATGTAAACAGAACAATGTTTCAAGAGTAGAAGTCATTCATTGTCCTAAACTTCCCTCTAGCACACACCCCCCTCACACCCACATTCACAGGGGCCTTCTCCCCTGTTCTCCCAGTATAGGCCCTAACAAATAATCCCACCTGCTCAGAGAAAAGTCTTTAAGGGTTTAGTGCACTGGCTGTAATGCCCTGAGGGTGCAGTGGCTCTAGAACCTTGAGGGCTGAGTCGCTCTGATGCCCTAGGTGAGGTGGCTTTAATGCCCTGAGGGTGAGGTGGCTCTACTCCCTGAGGGCGAGGGGGCTGTACGCCCTGAGGGCACGGTGGCTTACCTGGCACTTCTCTGGCATATTTATTGCTTTCCTCTTTGTTTGTTTATCTAGTTTATGCCTGTGAGTCTTTCTTCCCTTACCCTATGTTAGAACTGGCTGCTCAAGTTGTTTTAGTCTCCAAACACTTATAAATTTTTATTTGAGAAAAGTTACTGCAACCAATTATTATAGAAGTATGTCACTAATTTTCTAATTAATGCATTTTCTTGTAAACATGTTTTATACACAATCCTATATTTTTTACCGTTTGCTTTGCATCTCTTGAAAAATAATTTGCATATTTAAAAATATATACCCTTAATACTCATCAGTTTTACTTGTGATTTTATCCTATAGATATTCTCAATTAGACATGGTTACAATTATGTGCAGAGATGTTCACTGCAGTGATGTTTATATTTTAAAAACTACAAATAACTGCAATGACAAATTAATAATAGACTTAGTATTTGTTAAATGAATAAATTATTGGAGGGTGTTCTTGTTTATTTTTAGATGAATATATTATTAAATGGAAAAAATGCAAAGCACAGATAGTACTTATTTCATGGATTAAAAAATATGGGTTGTATATGCAATATGCACTTATATTCATGCCCTGAGGCACATGACATTTCTGGAATCATGTACAATAAACTGTAATATTAGTTACCAGTGGTTCATGGAAAGCATGATGTTTATTTTCAATATTAAAAAGGAAAAACAAAACAAAAGTAAATCCCAAGTAGAAAAAACCCTCCCCCAAAATAAAATGATTGAAAAAACCACACTACTGTCTTGTAGATTGAATCCTGTTTCCTGCTTCTTTATATAGTACCCTAATTCTAATTTTCTCACTGTCTTACCTTTGCCTCTGTGCTTTGCTTTCTATTTGGAAATGCTATTTTTCCTCTTTTGTACAAATAAATCTTTCCTCCTTTTCAAGGCATTATATATGGCCTAAACTCTTCATGAAACTTTACTGGACTATTCCATTTCAAAGAAATCTCTTCTCTAGACACATGCTTAGCATGAAACCAGTATCATATCATTTGATACTCACTCATTCAGTAATTACTTCATTTAATTATTTTTTCTTTCTACTTAAAGTATATATTGCCTCTGTTGTATATGGTTTGTACAGTATCTAATTGTACCAGTGTTTAAATAATTTTTTCTTTGATGATATTAGTTAAAAATTTATCTAGAAATATCCCATTTAAACCATATGAAATAATTAGGAGTTTCCTAAATTGATATTCAAAGTAATATTTTCTTTAGAAGAGCATCACTAAGAAATACTAGAGCATTGTTTTTGACATTTAAAAAAATACTACAAATAATGCCTCAAATTTATGTGGAAAGTACATGAAGTACAAGGAACCAGAGTTACCATCTAGCCATCTCACCCAAAGAAGAATTCTTTTTTTTTCTCATATAAGTTTCCTTCAATTTTGAAATTGAAGCACAAAAATGAAGTGGTTTGTGGCTAAACACCTTCACAGAAAGGAAAATTAGGGTGTTCATTCATCCATCATAAAAAAGCAAACTCCAAAGTCTGAGGCAGCCTCCCCCAGTAAAGTAAAGAACAGATTAAAGAATGGGAGGAAAAATACAGTCAAAACTGGGGTGGTGATGGCTGGCAGATATCCAGTAGAATACAATTTTTATAGTTGCTGCAATTACAGAAGAGGGTACCAGTCATTTTTAAAAACAATCTCAATCAGGAGCCCTCCCAGCTCTTCCCAATTAGCAGTCATGAAAATAAATGTTTCCCTATCCCGAATAACTCATGTCTCAGGACTGCACACCAATCCATTTTGCCTCAGGGGAGGAAGCTCTTTTCATTTACTCTGGTTTCAGGGACCAGGATCAAGATTCTAGAGAAAGGAAAGAATCTACCAAATGATGGTAGAGGATGTTTATTCATTATGGTAACTCATAATTTGTGAGATAAAATATTTAATATTAAGGTCATATAATTATAATATGTATATGTGAAGCTCTATTATTAGGCACATATTTAGGATTGTTATGTCTTCTTGGTAAACTAGCTTTCATCATTATAAAATCTTTTTATTTATCTCTAGTAATAATGTTCTAAAGCCTACTTTATCTGAAGTTAAGATAGCTTAATTTCAGCTTCCTTATGATTAGTGTTTGTACAGTAAGTCTTTTTTGTGTCCTTTTACTATTAATTTACCTGTGTCTTAAAATTTATAAGCGTGTCTCTTTTAAACAACATGTGAGTAAGTCTTACTTTTTTTATCCAATCTGAAAATCTCTGACATTTAACTGGAGTGTTAGTCCATTTACATTTAATATAAATCAGCATTGTTCTTTGAAGATTGTTTGTTTTACTTTGTTAGGGTGACTCTTTAGATGAAGGACTATGCTCTAGATCAGAGAGCCCTATTCTTAAAGCATGGCCTTTCTAAGAATTCGACTGAATGCTGATGTTCAAGGAGTTTATCCAGTGGTTGGTTGGAGCTCCAGTATCCCTCAGTCTGTTATGACCTCCATAATCTCTGTTCAGTTTACAGCTTGTGGGGTCTTGTTGTGCACTTAGTACAGCTTAGTATTTACCCAAAGGATCAAGAAGATAATAGATTTCTAGACCTCCTTTCTTATACTTCTTTCCTCTCTAGTATTTGGCCCTGCAGATTTTAGCTGCCACAACAGCCTTACATTCATATCTCTGTCTTCTTTGCCTAGTACAGTAGTGTTGTGCACTGTTCAGGTCCCACCCTTCTGGACCAGAGCCTAATGTTCTTCTAGAGATAGAAGCTCACCAGTATGGTTTTATGTATACCTCCCTTTTTCAAGAGATCATAATCCTGTACTTTAGATATTGTACAACAGGCGGGGTTTTTTTCTGTTTAATTGTTTACAGAGGAAGAGTTAATCTAGTACAAGTTAGTCCATCATGTCCACAAGCACAATCTTACAAAACATAAAGTCATTCTTTTTGAGACATAAGAGCATAAAGCTGTAATACAGAATAATAGATCCTATATTACACTAGAGAAATAATCTAATCCTATGTACTTATTTGAAAGATGAGAAGATACATAAGCTCAAGTGATTTATAGTATTGATTACACTGAGTTAGTATTATAGTACATATCCCAGGTTCTCACCACTATTCTTTTTACTATAGTAATCTTTTGAAAATTTCTCCTACCTTTGCAATATAATTTTATTTATTTTCAACATAATTTTATTTTTTTAGAACCTTAATTTCAGCATCTTCATTACATTTTTTCTCATATAAATGATATTGTTGATTCTCCTGTTAACATGGGCATGGAAAAAAAGTATACTTTAGAATAATAGACATGCTGTGGAATTACATGTTTATAATTCCATATAAGACCTAGAAAAAGGGAGACTTAGTTCTTTTAATGTAATTGTATTTTTGTTTATTTTTTCAGTTTGTTTTCTTTGCTGTCTAAAAAACACAACAAAGTTCTGGAACAAGCCACTCAGTCCTTGAGAGGTTCGCTGAGTTCTAATGATGTTCCTCTGCCAGATTATGTAAGTACTTACCTTATTTCATCAATTAAATTTTTCTTTTCATTGTTAAGTTTATAAATAACAATACTCTTCTCAAAATCTGTGCTCTAAGTGCCTAATAAATCTCTAATACACAAATAAAGGAGTAATAAATCAAGGGAAATAATTACAAGTGATGGTTAACAAGTAGTTGAAGAAAATCAGCTGTAAACCAATGATTATTAATAATTAGGAATCTTTTGAGCTCAGTGCCTATAACTCAGCAGCTAGGGAGCCAGCTGCATACACCAGAGCTGGCGCGTTCAAACTGAGCCTGGGCCTGCCAAACAACAATGGCACCTACAACCAAAAAACAGCCAGGTGTTCTGATGGGCGCCAATGGTCCCAGCTACTTGGGAGGCTGAGGCAAGAGAATTGCTTAAGCCCAAGAGTTAAGAGATCTATGATGCCATGGCACTTTACTGAGGGCAACAGTAAAACTCCATCTCAGCGCCTCTGGCTCAGTGAGTAGGGTGCTGCTCCCATATACCAAGGGTGGCAGGTTCAAACCCAGCCCTGGCCAAACTGCAACAAAAAATAGCCGGGCCTTGTGGTAGGCTCCTATAGTCTCAGCTACTCTGGAGGCTGAGGCCAGAGAATCACCTAAGCCCAAGAGCAGGAGGTTGCCGTGAGCTGTGACACTACAGCACTCTGTCAAGGGCAACAAAGTAAGACTCTGTCTCTGGAAAAAAAATAAATAAATAAACTCCATCTCAAAAAAAAGTAATAATAATAATTAGGAATCTTTTGATAATCTGAGTTAAGAAACCCACTCAAACTAATTACACAAAAACAAAAGGAGGGATATATAGGGAGTATGTAAAGGTTTCTCACTGAAGTTAAGGGAAAGAAATACACCTGGACTACACAGAGAACTGGAACCTGAGATTGAAAAGCCATTGGGTTCAGGAATGTTCAGTTTGGGGACCATTTATTTTTGCTCTCTGCTCCATTGTTTTCTCTCTTTGCTTACTTGGACCTTAAATAGCAACCCCAGCTTTTCCCCTTTTCCCATCAACCTATAACATGTCCTAGTGAGTGAGTGTAGTGCCTTTAGTTAAGCAGAATCTTGAAATCTGAATTCTCAGTTCCTGAGAAAGAGAATCTCATTGGCTATGGTCTTATCAGTATGCAATTCTAGTCTTATCAGCCATGGTCAGAAGAGAACAGCAGTAACATGTTGCCTTTGTTCCATCTACTTTAAAGATGAAGAGCTTACCACCTCTTAGGGTTTGAATGTTCCCTCCAGAGCTCATGTTTTCTTTTCTTTTTTCTTGAAGAAAAAAAAATGCATACTGTTTTTAATCACAAGCATAATTAAAAAGAAACTAAGATAGTTTATTCAGCTATAACAGGAAACACTCACATTCTTCCTGATAAAAGAACGGTGCTTGTAATCTCGTGAAAGTACTGAATGAGGCCGTCACTGCACAATGTGGCAAAGGAATGAGCTCCCACTTAGTTGTTTTTAATGGCATTGTCATAGCTGTCATACTGACTCAAGAACACATAAACAAAAATATTTATAAATTAGAACTTATGCCAATTTAATCTATAGCCTGGGGGAGTCAGAGCATCAGAGAATATTCCAAACCATAACACTTTAAATACGTTGTCTATAAAAATTAATTAAATAAATAAATAAGTTGTCTTGTACACACGTTAAGGTTTATAGGAAAATCCCAATTGTAGGTAGATCTTTGATGCAGAGCTTCTGGAGACATCTGGAGACAACTACACTGTTGAGGAAGTGAAAGTCAAGTGGTTGGTGGTGGTTTGGGGGATACTCTTGGTTAGGAAGCCAGTGAATCAGGAACACTGGTTGGAAGCAGCTATCCACATAGGATGTGCTACATCTGTGTCTGGCTGTGTGGTACCTCCAAAGTATGACTAATGCCCCCTTCACTTCTGCCTTCCAGATCTCATGATAGTTAGGCAATTGATGAATTCTAACAGAGTCCAACTATAAGTGGAATGGACTCTAGGAAATCTAGTTCCCAACATTACCAGTGTTGATGTAACACAATCCAAAGTTACAACTCCAGCTCTAGATTTTATTGTTTGATCACAGCCCTATCTTCTTAATTCAAACTCAGTTATCCAGCCAGAAGTGATGGCAGAAAGTAAAGAACAAAAGATGAACATAATAACTCATGTGTGACTATATGATAAACTTTACATACTTATAAATTGATGCCACCTATTTATTGGCAAGCAAAGTAAAATAAACTTCTTGTGCCAAAGAAATCATTTTTTGCATCAGAAATAAAAATGGAATATATATAGAGTAAGAAATATCTAGAACCTGCCACACAAGGCCAGTAGGAATATCCTAATAATTAACAAAAAATGTTTTTAATTTCCCATTAATCACAAAACTGTTTAACAGTACATAAAGTTTAACTTTACATATTAGAAATACATTTCATTTTACCCATAGAGTCACCACCTTTCAATATGGAAGAAGAAAAATTGTATTAACTGAGTTAAAAGAAAAAACACTATCTGTTATGCTTATATACTATTGCTTTACCATTAATTATGGAATTTTATCACCATGACATTTCTTTTCATTTAATCCCCAGTGTGGCAGTGTTGATAGGTAGGGTCTTTTTTTTTTTTTTTTGAGACAGAGCCTCAAGCTGTCCCCCTGGGTAGAGTGCCGTGGCATTACAGCTCACAGCAACCTCCAACTCCTGGGCTCAAGCGAGTCTCCTGCCTCCGCCTCCCAAGTAGCTGGGACCACAGGCGCCCGCCACAACGCCCGGCTATTTTTTGGTTGCAGCCGTCATTGTTGTTTGGCGGGTCCGGGCTGGGGATTCGAACCCACCACCTTAGGTGTACGTGGCTGGCACCTTAGCCAGTTGAGCTATAGGCGCTGAGCCGATAGGTAGGGTCTTTAAGGAGTGATTAGATCATGAGAGTTCTACCCTTGTGAGTTGGTTCATCCATTCATAATGCATTAGTGGGTTGATGGATTACTGGGTTATTATGGGAAGGGAAAGTGAAGGTTTTATAAGAGGAGGAAGAGAGAACTCCAAGGTGGTGCCCTCTGATGCCCTTGGAGCGCTGCAGAGTCCCCACTAAGAAGATGGCTCTCACTAGATGGCTCTTTGTCAAGCTAGGACATCCCAGCCCCTCTAAGTGTAAGAAATAAATTCTTTTCCTTTATAAATTAACCAGTTTCGGATATTCTGTTATAAGCAACAGAAAACAGACTAAGTCACCACCTGGCCCTAGAGGATGCAGATGGAATAGAATGGAAGCAGCCTGGGGGATCATTATGTAACACTAGGAAGGAGCACGCATTACGAGTTCCTCCAGGGCATGCTCCTATCTGTATGACATTTCTTATATTTTGGAATGTGGCTTAGATGGAGATGCTAAAAATTATTTTACCGTAAACCACGGGAGAAGTTCAACAGTCTCTAATAAAGACCTCCATAAATCGCCAGATGACACATAATGGGTTGACATTTAGAAACTTTATTAGAGAATTTTTAAGTTCTGAGTTTGAAGTGATGATGCATTCCAGACAGCGGGAGAGTTGCTTTGCTTGCTTCCTGGGGTTTGTTTCATTTCTACGTGGTTGTGCTGATATGAGGCTGTGGGAACAGCACCCAGCCCAGATACCAGTCGCTGATAAACAAAGATAGCTGAATGCAGCCACAGCCTGACTGGTGCTGTTTTTCTTCTCATTTATTTATTTTACATTCTGTGTGTGTTATGTTATGCTCTTTCATCTCAGTAAGGTATTGAGTTTATAATTCCAAAAAGCCTTTTAAGATTTTCCTGCAAAGTTACATATTCAAAAAATTGTTGTAAGAACTAGCATTAACAGCTCACTTCATTCCACGTTTGCTATGACAACGATATAAAAAACACTTTCTGGCTTGGCACCTGTAGCTCAAGTGGCTAAGGCACCAGCCACATACACCTAAGGTGGCAGGTTCAAATCCAGCCTGGGTCTGCCAAACAACAATGACATCTGCAACCAAAAACCAAAAAATAGCCAGGCATTGTGGCAGGCACCTATAGTCCCAGCTACTTGGGAGGTGGAGGCAGGAGAATAGCTTGAGCCCAGGAATTGGAGGTTGCTGTGAGCTGTAATGCCACAGCACTCTACCCAGGAGGACAGCTTGAGGCTCTGTCTCAAAAAAAATTCTTTCTTTCTTATAGTTTTTTGGAAAACCCACCTGGGGCAAAACTGATATTCCTTTGAGGAAGTAGGGCATATTTTACGGTATTATGCAGTCATGGAGGTGATTATGCACTGAATGGACGGTTTGAATTTGTAACAGCAATGTGAATTCTGTTATTGAACTTTACAGGTTTTAGAATCACTGATTGACTTATTTTCTTCTTGCATGAACTTTTCACTAAATAAAAATGAATTTCTTAAAGCATCTGCTTTCTAGAAATACTAGGAAAATTCCATTGGGCATCTGATGGAATGTCGCTGATAGTTCTTATTTTAACATTGTTTGCATGAGACTTTGCAAATCACAACATTTTTCAAATGGGTTTATTATGAACCTGACTTTTGCAGCCTTTCCCTTAGAGTTATATTGAAGAGAGTGGTTAGCACTGATTAACAGTGACGACTGTGGATCACTCCTTCTGACGTGGATCTGAAAAGTGATGAAAGAAAACAGTAGTAACCTTACCAATAAGCATAGTATGTTCTTTCATGATAACTCAGTGTTTTATTATTGGTCATTCCCATTGCTCAAAACACTGTGTAGAAGTGATCTACACATTGGAAACTATGTTTTCTTTTAAAGTAGTCATTCACTAGGAAAATGAATACGTTCCTCCCTTTTGCTTCCCCAGAATTTTGTTTTTGCAGTTTTTGGCCGGGGCCAGGATTGAACCAGCCACCTCCGGTATATGGGGCCAGCGCCCCACTCTTTGAGCCACAGGCACTGCCCTGCTTCCCCAGAATTTTTACTTATTAGGTGTCCTTGCCAACAGCTACATAA